TAACATTGTGTCCATTAGGTGGAAGCACACTCCTCCCCCTTCTATCTCCCTACCTACCCTCCTTCCTCCCCCTTCCCCCAACTTGATTGAGTTTTTCTCTTGGGTGGGCACGTATTTAGTTTGTCCATTGGCTTCATATTAGTATTGAGTACATTGGATACTTACTTTTCCATTCTTGTGGTACTTTACTAAGAAGAATGTGTTTCAGTTCCATCCAGGTTAATACAAAAAATGTAAAAGTCTCCATCTTTTTATGGCTGAATAGTATTCCCTGGTTTACATACACCACAGTATATTCATCCATTCCTGGATTGATGTGGACTTAGGTTCTCTCCACAGCTTGGTGACTATAAATTGAGCTTCAATAAACAATCCAGTGCAACTGTCCTACTTTTGGATTTTTTTTTTTTTTTTGAGACAGAGTCTCACTTTGTTACCCTTGGTAAAGTGCTGTGGCATCACAACTCACAGCAACCTCCAGCTCTTGGACTTAGGCAATTCTCTTGCCTCAGCCTCCTGAGTAGCTGGGACTACAGGCCCCCGCCACAACGCCTGGCTATTTTTTATTGCAGTTTTGCCAAGGTCGGGTTTGAGCTTGCCACTCTCAGTTTATGGGACTGGCGCCCTACTCACCGAGACACAGGCGCTGCCCTCTTGGATGATTTCTAATATTCCAGAAATACAGCCATGTCTGAGTTTCTACAGGAGCAAGGGATTGTGGGATTAACCTTGGCAGCATGTAGAATATTCTGTCTTGGGAACTTCTCCCTTGTCTGCTTCCACCACCTCTCCTGGTGTTTCTGGATTTTGTCTTTCTCTTCTTTATCTCTGCCTATTACTGCTTTCCTCTGATTCCTCTCACCACAGTACTTGCTCCTCACTCTACCTTGATGCTTCAAGAAAAAAAAAAAAGTCCCTGGCCATCTGGATTCCTTGACCCTTGATGTTGAGAGGGTCAATCTTCTGCATCCCACAGTGGACTGAGTTCAAAGGAAACCGTCAGGTCCTTCAGTGTCTAAAAGAGCCCTCCCCAGTCCCCCCTATTATTAAAACAGGTAGTACATTGGTGTACTCTGAGGGACAGCAAGATTTGCAAAGAACTCTGGTTTTCTGTTAATTGTTACTCAATTGATTTCAGTTCCCTTATCCCGCCCCTGCCCCTTGTAGTGTCTTCTCTGGAGACATTTAGAGCCTGAGCCACTGTCTCTAGGAGACCAGGACTCACAACTGCCCAGAGCAAGAACCATAGCTGGTGAGAAGTCCAGGTGAGGAGAAACATCTCTGGGGTAGGGAGTGGGGGCTTGATGCAGCCACACTTAGTAAACTGGTGGGTACAGTAGAGTCTTTGGAGTGAGCTGAAGAAGGATATGGAGTTAAGGAATTCTTTCTTTCTTTCTTTCTTTTTTTTTGAGAGATTCACTATGTCGTCCTTGGTAGAGTGCAGTGTCGTCACAGCTCACAGCAACCTCAAACTCTTGGGCTTAAGCGATTCTCTTGCCTCAGCCACCCAAGTAGCTGGGATTACAGGCACCCACCACAACACCCAGCTATTTTTTTTGTTGCAGTTGTCGTTGTTTAGCTGGCCCAGGCTGGGTTTGAACCTCCCAGCCTCAGTGTATGTGGCTGGAGCTGTAACCACTGTGCTATGGGCGTTGAACCAAGGAATTATTTCTTTTTAAACATAAGAAGTTCTAGAGTACATTGGGGTGCTGATGGAAATGATGGACTATAGAAAGTATACTGATGTGACAGAAGAGAGAGGAGAAGGATCAAGGGAAGCTCTTAAGTCAATGAGGGACTGAGTCTTGGAGGCCCAGTAGAGTAGGTTTTGGGCAGAAATACTGGCTATTGAAGTGAAAGTCCAGAACGCTTGTGCAGGAGCAGGCAGCCGGGTGGACTTGGTGGATTGTGAGGCAAGGGCATGAGGTTGGGGGCACAAATGGGGTGGGAGAGGAGGTTCAGAGCTTTGAGAAGAGAGCAGAAGGTCCCCAATGATTATTATGGCTCATGGGAAAATGAATGGAATAGATCAGTATTTAACTTCCAGAGCGGTGGTGAGTGTGGTCCTGAATGGTACATTGGGACCCACCAGCAGAATTCAGCTCTGCCCCTTCCCAAATTTGAAACATAGGCCAGTCACTTCCCACCCAAGCCCTTCTATTTTTTCCTCTTCTATTACACACGATGGTGATTTTTTTGTCAATGCTGAGATCTCTGAGCTCAGAGGCAAGAAAGGGGAGAATGTGGCATGGAGATTGCCATCTGTGAGCAGGACAGACAACGGCAGCCACCATGGTTCTGGTTCGTGTTCATTGCAAATCAAAGGTTTTCTGTTCAGAACTGTGGCGAAACCATAATTGCACAGCTTTTCCTTTCTTGTAATGTTCCCTCCTGTCATTGCAGAATCTTTCTTGCTCATTGTAAAACTTTTTCAAATGGTTACCTTAGAGATTTTCGAAGACAGTCTTCAGAGTGTCTGGGTGGTTGAATGGAGGTGGGGAGGGGACATCTCCAAGTTGTTTCTGAGGCTGGAGAGCATCAATGCTCACTAGAAATATGAGCCACACATATAATTTTAAGTTGTCAATTAGATACTTTAAAAAGGTAAGAAGAAACATGTGAAATTAATTTTAATAAAATATTTTACTTAACCTCATAGAGCCAAATTATAGATTCAACATGTAGTCAATATAAACGTTATTTAATTTATTTACTTATTTAGACATGGAGTCTTACTCTCTCACCCAGGCTAGAGTGCCTTGGTGTCATAGCTTACAGAAACCTCAAACTTCTGGGCTTCGGGGATCCTCTTACCTCCTTTTCCCTAGCAGCTGGGACTACAGGCACCTGCTACGATGTCTGGCTACTTTTTTTTTTTTTTTTCAGTAGAGAAGGGGGTCTTCTTGCTCAGGATGATTTTGAACGCCTGAGCTCAAGCAATCTGCCTACCTTGGCCTCCCAGACTGCTAGGATTGCAGGTGTGAGCCACTGTACCTGGCCTAAATTATTCTTTTATTAGTATACATTTATGGAGTAAAAGCATAATTTCATGTCATGGATAGAGTACATAGTAGTGAAGTCAGGGCCTTTAGAGTATCCATCATTCAAATAACATATAAAATCTGGCAATTAAGTTTGTGAACTCATTCTAGAAAAAGTGCTACATACGTCACTGCTGAATATCACTATGGTCACGTTCGAAATACTCCCCTTGGGAAGCTATGCACTGATGCCAGTGCCTAGTCCACTGTTCAGAGTAATTTTGGAACTCTTTTTTTCTGGAATAACCATCACAGCTGTCATCATACATGATCTGACAATTAAGTCCACAAACTTGCCATCTTCTGCTCATGTTGGTAGCACTGTACAAACAACTCATAGGTTGTACATAGCCTTTGTATATCAGTGTCTCACTGCTGCATTTGTGTTGAAATGTGGCAGTGTCTTGCTGAGTGGCATTCATTATTGTTGTTGCTTGTTTTTGTGTGCCATACGACAACAACTCTTCATCTCCAAGAGTACTGAGCCCATCAATAGATGGAGAAGGGCATCCCCTCTGTTTGGCCAAGGTCATCACAGAGACAAGACTAGAAATGGGGTCTCCTATTCCTCTAGCACAGAATCTACAAGATATAAAACGTGGTTCATCTCTGTCTGTTTATCATTCATTGCTTGGAAAACTAACTAAACAGGATGCCTTGCCCTTCACAGTGGCAGAGGAAAGGGAGGGACGATTCCATGACCCCTAAGGGAGGGGAGCAGAGTCTAGAATGGTGAAGTTGAATAGTCCTCAGACTGAGAATCATGGGTAGGAGAAAGTCTTAGCTTGATCTGTCCAACACTGGATCACTGAGGCCATTTCCCCCAGTGTCCTGATATCCACATGCCATTATTTTTCCTTTTTTAAATTTGTGGTTAAATACACATAACAAAAAAATGTACCATTTAATGTGTACAATTCAGTGTCACTAAGCACATTTACAATCCTTTACATCCATAACCACTATATAGTTCCAGAACATTCTCATCACCTCAAACAGAAACTCCATACCCATTAAGCAATAATCCCCCATTCTCCAGTTTCCCTAGCCCCTGACAACTCCTAATCTGCGTCCTGTCTCTGCAAATTTACAGTGGAGTAGGCTCTGCTGGTTATTCTGGATATTTCATGTAAGTAGAATCATATAATACGTGGCCGTTCATGGCTAGCTTCTTTCATTTAGCATAATGCTTTCAATATTTATCCATGTTGCATAGAGCATGCAATGGTTATGGCTGAATAATATCCCGTTGTATGCATACACACTGGATTCTGTTTATTGTTTGTCTTTTGATTGACATTTGTATTGTTTCCACCTTCTGACTATCGTGAAGAGTACCACAGTGAACACTCTTTTTTTTTTTGAGACAGAGTCTCACTATGTCACCCTGGGTGGAGTGCCACAGTGTCATAGCTCACAGCAACCTCAAACTCTTGGGCTTAAGCAATTCTCTTGCCTCAGCCTCCCAAGTAGCTACAAGGGACTACAGGAGCCCCACCACAATGCTGGCTACTTTTTGGTTGTAGTTGTCATTGTTGTTTGGCAGGCCTGGGCTGGGTTTGAACCCGCTGGCTCCGGTGTATATGGTTGGCTCCCTAGCTGCTTGAGCTACAGGCACCAGATCAAGTGAACATTCTTTTTTAGAGATGTGTTTTCTTTATACATCTTTGGCCAATATTTTCCTCTTGGAGGGCAAAAACCCTATCTATCTTCTTTAGCAAAGTGATCTACTCAGTAGGCTTGCATGTCATCAATTGTGGGAACATGTGATAGGATAAGATCTTTCCACTTTCACACCGGTTGCCAATTTATAGACATGGGCAAGTATAAGGAAGGGTGGTGAGGACGTTCTGGCTGGTGTGGGGAAGATAAAGGAACAACAGGTGGGAAAACTGGTGGGTGCATGGAGATTCATAACTAAACAAGTGCCACTGTTCAACTATTTCAGGAGTGCATACGATGGAGATGAATTCCTCTCTCCCCACAAATGTGTCTGGAGGTATGCGTGCTGTGCCTGCCGGCTATCTTGTCCTGGACATCGTCTCTTATTTGGTATTTGCACTTACCTTTGTCCTTGGCATCCTGGGCAATGGGCTCGTAATCTGGGTGACTGGGTTCCGGATGACGCACACAGTGACTACCCTCTCTTACCTGAACCTGGCCTTGGCTGATTTCTCTTTCACCTCCACTTTGCCTTTCCTCTTGGTCTCAAAGGTCATGGGAGGACATTGGCCTTTTGGTTGGTTCCTATGCAAGTTCATTAATACCATAGTGGACATCAACCTGTTTGGAAGTGTCTTCCTGATTGCTCTCATTGCTCTGGACCGCTGCACCTGTGTCCTGTATCCAGTCTGGGCCCAGAACCACCGCACTATAAGCCTGGCCAAGAGGGTGATCATCGTGCCCTGGATTTTTGCTGTGCTCCTCACGTTGCCAGTTATCATTCGTCTGACTACCATTGCTGATGGAAGGGGCACAGGAAAAATAATGTGCACTTTTGACTTTTCACCCTGGACCAAGGACCCTGTAGAGAAGAGGGAGGTGGCCTTCAGGATGCTGATGGTGAGAGGGATCATACGCTTCATCATTGGCTTCAGCACACCGATGTCCATCGTGGCTGTCTGCTATGGGCTCATCGCCACCAAGATGTACAGACAAGGCCTGATTAAGTCCAGTCGTCCTTTACGAGTCCTGTCTTTTGTTGTAGCTGCCTTTTTTCTCTGCTGGTTTCCCTATCAGGTAGTGGCCCTCATAGTTACAATCAGACGCCGGGAACTGTTGTCTGGTATAAGCCAACATCTTAGAATAGCAGTGAATGTGACAAGTGCCCTGGCCTTCTTCAACAGCTGCCTTAATCCAATGCTGTACGTCTTCATGGGCCGGGACTTCCGAGAGAGACTAATCCAGTCCCTGCCCGCCAGTCTGGAGAGGGCCCTGAGTGAGGACTTGCCCCTGAGCACGAACACAGCCACTGATTCTACTTCATCTCCTGCAGAGGCTAAGTTATAGGCAGTGTGAGGAGGGAGGGGGCTAGGAGACATGTTGGAGCTCCCAGTCCTAGTTCCTCTCTCTTTGAGTTATACTTAGACACAGGCACTCCTTGCTTATCCTCAGGTTACCCACTTGCCAGGAAAAAAAAAAAATTGTGTTCCCAGATTTGGAGAGAAGTAATAGACTTGAACTTACTACTGATTTTCTTTTTTTGGTTTTTGGACCTCAGTCTGAGGTGGTCAGTGATAGGAAGATCATGTGTCCTCATTTGCCTGACATGGTCCTGAATGATACCTTTTACCGGGGCATAATTATTCATAGTGTCCACTCATTCTGCAAAGTACCCTAGTGTGGGTGACAAATTATGTTGTCACCCCAGGAAAATGAAAGAGGAGGAAGTATGAAAGAGTATGGCTTAAATTAGACAAGATAGAAAAGGAGATACTTTCTATAAAGTTCTTAGCCTTAATTGATCAATAGGTAAGTAAAAATATGAAAGTTATCTAGAAGTCAGGTGAAGACTTGCCTGATCCCTTGCATCATATATTTTGTGAAACAGATTGTTCTCCCCCCAAACACAAGGTCTGTGTTTTTACTTGTATCTCTCAGTCTTGCTTCAACTGAATTAGTCCAGTTTAACACTTTATCTGGGCTTGCCACTGTTCTTGTCCTAAACGGAATTAACTCAGAGTAGAATGTAGACATTTCCCTAATTTTTGTAAAAGCTACTTTCATAAAATGCATAAGAAGTTGCATAAAAAGTGCAAAGGGCTTTCAATGCAGAACACATTTTATAGAAGTTTGGTGATGTGGTTAGTGACAGACAAATATGAGAGCTTCCGGTTGAACTTTAGACACCCTGTTCTTAAAAGTCTATCTTCTTTCCTATTTCTTCGTCTCTGGATTTCTGGGGGGTTTTTGTACCATACAGAGAAATTTAACCATCATGCCCTGGACCACTTAACTTCTTATCACCCAGGTCTCTTGTCCCAACCAAGTCATTTATCAATGATAGGCATCCTCCTTAGGAAGATTTCTGGTGTCAGCTCTTAAAGGAATCAACCACTACACTCATCATCATTTTATTGTAAGTAAGGCAGACAAGTGAAAAGAGAGAGAATTATCAGGAAAAAAGAGGGGTGGAGGAGTGTTCAGTCAACATATACCAGAATGTGCATTTTGGTAAAGGGCTAGGTGTTTGACAACGGCTGATTTCATTCCAGTTCAAGGGCAGTTCCTGAGATTTGACTACATGATGTGTTTGACTACATGGAGGAATCAACCTCTCTGGAATTCTATTGTGGATTTTTCTGTATAACCCCCAATAAGCTCTCTCCAGCTTTATATGACAGTATCCCGTGCATTTATTTGATCTATGGATTGACCCCTGAGCTTTCTGGAGGACATTGTATAATTCTTTCCTTTTCCCTGCATAAAAAAAAGACTCAATAAATGGTAGTTTACCTAAACCTTTTGCTTTTGCACTTCTTGTATAAGGCAGCGCTTGTGGCTCAGTGGGTAGGGCGCCGGCCCCATATACCATATACTGAGAGTGGTGGGTTTGAACATGGCCCTGGCCAGCTAAAACAGCAGTGGTAACTGCAACAAAAAATAGCCAGGCATTGTGGTGGACACCTGTAGTCGCAGGTTCTCGGGAGGCTGAGGCAAGAGAATTGCTTAAGCCCAAGAGTTGGAGGTTGCTGTGAGCTGTGATACCACGGTATTCAACTGAGGGTGACATAGTGAGACTCTGTCTCAAACAACAACAACAACAACAAAACCCTTTTGCTTCTGTAGTTCTTTTATAATCACCTAGGGTACTTGCATGTCTAGTAACTCTTTAGGTCACCAGCTCAATGAAGTCAGCTGAGTCCTTCCTA